CAAAAGTGATTCGGTCAAGGACAGTGAGCGATTTTCTTTCTAATGTTTGATTAACATTATTGACATAAATTTTAACAGCAGCTAAATTAGGCTGCTTTAGAGGAATAGCTCACCCAAAAATTAAAGGTCTGTTGTTGTTCTAAACCTGTATGAGTTTCCTTCTGCTGTTGAATGTAAAAGTATATGAAGAGTTCATTTGAAAAAACAGATAGCTCCATTTTTAACCATTTTCCAAAAAAAATAAAATGTCATTGTGCATTCCAATTATTCTCGATCAATCCGCAGTTGGGTTATTTTGATTAAGTTAAAAAATAACAAAAAAAATACAGCAAACACAATAAAAGACAATAAAAACATGATAACATAATAAAAAACATGATTTTTTGAAAATTGTAATAAACTGAGTTATCTGTTTTTGCAAATAAACTCTTTATATATTTGGAACAATACTGGTAACCCAACAGTTGCTGGGCCCCCATGACTTCCATAGTATGAAAAACAAAATACACTACTGGAGTCAATGGGGACCAGAAAATTTCTAGTTACGAACATTCTTCAAAATATCTTCTTTTATGTTGAGGAGAACAAAGAAGTGCGCAACGTGAATCAGGCTGAAACCGCAACGCGCGCATTTGCCAAAATGAATTCTGCCCCACTGCTTAATGTCCACGAACAGTTACATTTGTTTTTAAACCACAATGCTTAAAATGCGTTTAAATGAAAAGCTTAATGTACATCATGCCGCGCAAAACGATTGATAGGCTGTATTTCTACCGGTTTATCTCTCAACCCATAAGCGAATACTTTGTTCAAACACAAAAAGCAATATACATCCATCAAGTTGTTAACTTGTTAATCAAACTAACCTAAAATCTGTGGGGACGATGACGCTGTGATTTTATCTGCTCCATGTGCCCGGTCCACTTGCTGTTTCACAACTACTCCATCATCAGCTTTAGTAAAATAACCTGATAGCTGGGGATTTTACTGACTCTCTAACTCATGTTTTCCCCTCTCTCCTAATTTTGTTAGAATAGCCCCTCTCTCACTTTCTTTTAGAATAGTTTACATTTTTACTTATCGAAGATTGTTCTTTGCATGACCATTTCCAGATTATGCCAGAACAAAGTGAAGAGAGGTGAATGTGGACAGCCAATCACGGGACCCCTCCTTGTCCGGGCCCGGGGCTTCAGCCCCGCCTAGCCCAATGGCTAATGCGGCCCTGGTAATCATACGTATACATGTTTCACATTGTTGACAGATGTTTCAACCATGTAATGAGATATATATATATACTATATATATATATTTTAAACAATTGCAATGGCAGGACATCGAACTCAAGTTTAGGCTGGCGCTGTACGAGCAGGTGTGCGCAACGTGTATCAGGCTGAAACCGCAACGCGCGCATTTGCCAAAATGAATTCTGCCCCACTGCTTAATGTCCACGAACAGTTACATTTGTTTTTAAACCACAATGCTTAAAATGCGTTTAAATGAAAAGCTTAATGTACATCATGCCGCTCAAAACGATTGATATACCGGTTTATCTCTCAACCCATAAGCGAATATAGGCTACTTTGTTCAAACACAAAAAGCAATATACATCCATCAAGTTGTTAACTTGTTAATCAAACTAACCTAACATTCATCATATTTTAAGTAAGATAATACCATATTGCGTAAATAGCATAATATATAATAGAATTACACAATAAGAGCTATTCATTCATTATTCATCTACCAAACGTAACGTTATTAAATCTTGTTATTCAATTCAATCTAACGTGCAATCTTATGATTTGAAATTATTTGTTGCAGTCTTTTTGAGTGGAACTTCATGATTCAGACACACTTTGGTTGAAGTGTTGGGAACATTTATTTTTCAAAAGCATCCTACAAGAAAAATAAATGTTAGTAATGATTAAAAAAAAAATTTAATATGCCTCATTCATGGGAAGTTTCATGGACATACTTATTTTATTAAAATGATTGTTGTATTTTATAGCAATTGTCTATTTCTTCAGTGCTTACTTTTATGTTTTTTTTTTCACTTTATATTTCTCTCTGAATTATTTTGAAATCCTGAAAATTAAATTTTTTCTTTTTTCTTTTGTTTCAGACCTGATGGAAGAGAACGAGGAGAGTGAAGAACTGAGTGAAGTGGAGGAGGAACATCATGACAAACCTGGAGAAAAACATTTGAGTCACTCAAAGCCTAAAAAGACATTTGTAAAGAAAAGAAGAGCCAAGAAATCTTTCACCTGCACTCAGTGTGTAAAGAGTTTCTCAAGGAAATATAATCTTGAGCTTCACATAAGAGTTCACACTGGAGAGAAACCGTTCACGTGTGATCAGTGCGGGAAGAGTTTCACACAATCAGCAAACCTTAAACAACACATGAGAATTCACACCGGAGAGAAGCCGCACACTTGTGTTCAATGTGGGAAGAGTTTCACAGGAAAAACACACCTTAAGCAACACATGAAAATTCACAGCGGAGAGAAGCCACATACATGCAATCAGTGTGGGAAGAGTTTCACACGCGAAACAAGTCTTGAGCTTCACATGAGGATCCACACTGGAGAAAAGCCTTTCAGCTGTGAAAAGTGCGGGAAGAGTTTCACACAAAAAATACATCTTAGGCAGCACGTGAGGATCCACACTGGAGAGAAACCATACCCATGCGATAAATGTGGGAAGAGTTTCACGAATTCATCACACCTTAAGAGTCACATGAGGATCCACACCGGAGAGAAGCCGTTCATGTGTGATCGGTGTGAAAAGACATTTTCATGCAAACACAATCTTGATCATCACATGAGAGCTCATACTGGAGTGAAGCCGTTCATGTGCGATCAGTGTGGAAAGAGTTTCATGGACTCTTCAAAACATAAAAGACACATGAAGGTCCACACCGGAGAGAAGCCGTTCACATGTGATCAGTGCGGGAATAGCTTTAAAGAAAAAATAGACCTTAAAAAACACATGAGGATCCACACTGGAGAGAAGCCTTATGCATGTGATCAATGTGGGAAGAGTTTCACAGATTCAGCGTACCTTAAGATTCACATGAGGATCCACACCGGAGAGAAGCCGTTCGAGTGTGATCAGTGTGAAAAGAGATTCTCAATTAAAAGTAGACTTCAACTTCACATGAGAATCCACACCGGAGAGAAGCCTTATGCATGTGATCAATGTGGGAAGAGATTCCCAATCAAAGCAAGTCTTGAGCTTCACATGAGGATCCACACGGGAGAGAAGCCGTTCATGTGCGAACTGTGTGAAAAGAGATTCTCAATAAAAAAAAATCTTAAACTTCACATGAGGCTCCACACCGGAGAGAAGCCGTTCACATGTGCCCAGTGCGGAAAAACATTTTTCTGGGCATCAAACTTGAAGAAACACCTGACAGTTCATACGAAGGAGAAGCCACATTCATGTTCTGAGTGTGGAAAGAGTTTTTCACTGCTGCAAAGTTGAAAAAAACATCAGAAAATACATACTGGTGTGAATGAGTACATGTGCTTTGAGTGTGACTTTTATTTCAGCTGGACATTTGAAACTGCACCGGAGGATTCACACTGGACAGAAACCGTACAAGTGTTCACACTGCGACAAGAGATTCAGTAGTTCAGCACATATGAGAAGACATGAGATGATCCACAGGAGAGAGAAACCGCACACGTGTGATCAGTGCGGGAGGGGTTTTGCTTTTAAAAGTCACCTGAAGACACACATGAGGATCCATGCAGCGGAGAAACCGCTTAGTGGAGAAAACAGTTAGTTTCCTGTATCAGGAATAGTTTTAGTTCTGAAAGCCATGATGTTGCCTATTGACCTTTTACACATTTCATGGTTTCTCAGCAGCGAAGTCTTCATAGTTGGGTAAACTTCTGTGGCAGTGAATGGGAGACTACCATAAATATAAATTTTTTTGCATTCCTATTTGCTCAAATAGTGAAAAAAAAACTCCACTGATGGAGTGGATGTCGATCTACCATGGCCTTCATAATAAAATCAATTATATTATCTCTTGTGTGATTATTAATCAAGTTATTAATCAGTATTTAACCTCATAGAGTGTAGTTGATTGAATAAAGTTATTAGTTACCACATATTAGTTGTAAACACAAAGAAATGTATGCATACTGCTGTTGGAAAGTGTCTGTGTCCCTTTAATGTGAAAAAACGGGCCTCTCCATATGTGAACTTTGGCTTTCTCCTCTCCGGTTCAATAGGTCACTGAATGCCTTGGCCATAGAGGTCACTGGGGCCTCTTGCCTACGTGACCAATGTGTACCCCAAACATTTAGGTGGTTTTATATGTCTGTATGTAAAAGAATGTGCTGAATATGGACTGAATCTTCTCCCTCTTTCTCTCTCAAGGAAGAGACTCCCTGACTGTGTGTAGATGATAAGAGTAATAACATAACCCGACCTTGACGGAGATCAGTGTTGCTCTATGTATGTGTGTTGTTATCTGTTTGCGCAGGACCAGTTGCTACCAGTCTTCAGGGAGATTCACAAACGGCACCCATGAGTAAAGACCATATGTGACCCTGGACCACAAAACCAGTCATAAGGGTCAATTTTTCGAAGTT